GTCACATTGAAGGCTTTTCTCAGTCATCGGTGACCGGGACGGTGCCAAGTTTAGTGAAAGCATTTAATTGGCAGTAATATTTAAATAGTCCCATTTCTAACTGTTGACATATTATTTACGCATATTCGGACGTATTGTACTTAAATAAAAAATTCATTTCGGAGCCATAGACGAGTTACCGTACAATTGGTCCAGAATTCAACGCGTCAAACACTCTTCTCAACCAATTCAAAGGGTTAACAAAGATTCGTCTACCTTCCTTCGTTCGATTGCAAAAAAAAAAAAGAAGAAAATCATCGAAACTTACCAGGATCCGAGGAGTCCAGGCTGGCGGGCGCCTGTTGGCTTAGGGGTCCTGGCGTGCCCCCGCTTCCAGGGCTGCGTGCATCGTCGTTACCACCCGCACCAGGGTACGAGAGCGACGAAGAGGGTGGCCTCTGTAAGAAATGCAAGAGGATACGGTGAAAACGGTTACACTCTCGGCTCACGATACATTAACGCTATTCCACTTGTCGCGCAACACGTTGAACAACGAGCAAGAGGATCGGCACGACACGATCGTTTCGACGGGGCATCTTTTCAACAGAGAGACAGAGAGAGAGAGAGATACAGACACGTATACACACATGAGTCACGTTCACGGCGGGGAGGGTTGTTTTAAGGCGTACGCGCGCAATACCGTTGGCCACATCGCCACAACGGAATACCATTGACGAGGCCGCCACGGCCGATTTCGATCTCGATTAAAGGCGGAGCACACGTACCACTCCTCGAAAATGCCCACGGCATAAACGATTCGACGACGCGCGCGTCCTACGAATCGACCGCGCGCCAACCGCGCTGAATATTCCCTGGCGTTCCGCTCGCTTATTCCGCGGGTGTAGCCGTGTGATAATCACGGAGCCGCGAACCTGCCCGTTCGGGAAAATACGCACGGCAAATTGCCGTGCTAGCCCCGTGAGTGGAATACGAGACGAACGGGCCCGCGAACAGGACACCGCCTAATTGTTCCGTTTCTTATCGGCGCGCGAACCATCCAGCGGATATTGGGACGAAACGAGGTTCAATTTCGATATTTATTTATGTGTACGTAGGCAGAGGACAGAGAAAATATTGATAGTTGAATTTGTGTGGGAGAAATTTTCAGAAACTCAGATAAAAAGAGAATAATATTAGCGCTCTACAAGGAGGACAAAGAATCATCGTTAATTACACGTTTCTTCGCTTTATGGTTCTCCTGACAATCTTCCTTTCTGGAGCTTGGAACGTTGCGATTAGGCACCAAGCAAAGAGAATTAAGATAAATTAGGCGTGTCATTGTAACAACAATGGTCATTGATAAGGCGGACGAGCAGCTCAGACAGAAAGTATAGATATGATTTTTATTCTTGTAGATAGAGATGCTGCAATTGCACTCATGGAAGATTTCTCTTGGTCTCTCTACTCTGGGAAGATTTTACGTATGTACATCTTTGAAGATTAGAAAAATAGAGAGAAAAGTGAACACGAAAAATTCCGAAAAACAAAGAGGACGAATAAATAAAATTGTCCAAGAGAGAATCGCGAGATCGAGGAAGATCGCTCATCTCGAGCGCATTTGTTTACGCGAAAAGCCGTGGTATCGATCGTGGCCCGAGGTCGTAGGATAAGAATTCCAGGCAGGCCGGTATCACGAAGCGAAATGTCTGGATATATCACGTCTGCCGGGGCAACAATGAGTGACAGCTACTCCCACATGCTGTCATAGGCGTCATCTTCGCGATAATGTACCGACTCGGTCTCTCCCCCTCTCCAATTCTCGATTGGCCGCTCTCGTATCTGGTTAAAATCGTTACACGGTCAAATCTATAGGACCTTCCTGCTCTCGAGTCCATGGGACACATATGTGCACGCGTCGACGACGACGACGAAAAGAAACGGATCGACAAAGGCCTCATCGTTCGTCGTCGTCGTCGTCGTCGTTCGTCTACGTCGTCGCGATTCGCCTTAGAGATGTGGCGACGGAATCATTGAAATTCCTCGCGACGCGACAGGATTTTCTTGTCGAATGGAAATTTCTGATTTAAACTGCTTCAATTTGACAAACGACGAATAATCGTGATTCTCTTCCTAGCTTGGAAAATACGCGCCGAGTAGAAGGAAAGAGAGAGAGAGGCGCTGGTACGTTCGTTCGATTGAATCGTAATAGTTATGGTTTCACGTGGGCGGCTATACGAACCGATGAATGTTATAATGATATTCCTGTAAGATTGACGAGCTTACTTGAGGATGAAGTGTGTAATAAGATCCGAAGAATGAAGGAAACGTGTCGGTGGGTTGTTCCGTGTATATTAGGAAGAATAATTCGGGTTTAATATCGAAGGGAATTTAAACGATTCCATTGTATATACGTTCCAATTAATTTCACATAATTCCTGTCCGGGACGTCTTAATTTTCATTAGAAGGGCAGGAGCACCCGCGATCACTGGTCCCGCTCGCAAAGTAGAGAGGATACGTACTGTAGGTTGTGCGAGTGAGTACGAGAGAGCGGCAACGAGCGAGCAGGGGGGAGACATTAATAATGCATCGGTTGTCGCTGGATTGCTTCCTACTAGCAGCAAGTACGAAACAAAGGGCGATGCTTGTCATTGTCACCTACGAGGCGAGGATCATCTTGTCGGCCGCGATCGCCGAGTCTAATCCGGATGTGCCAACAAATCGATTAAATCGACGTTGTTCCTTGCAACTATAGTATCTGACGAAGCAGAATTTACGTTGAACAAAAACCTGTAAGATAATTTCGAAAAATACTTTTCCTTATTTTCCTATTATTTTCCTTATCAGAATTTCTCAAATGTCTCCGTAATCTCAGAAGATAATTTTCCAAATATTTTAAAATTCTCAAGAAAAGAAATTCCCAAATATCTCGAGAATCTCCAAAAAAAAGTTAACATCCTCGGCGAACATAGGAAAAAAGGATTTCCCAAATATCTCAGTAACCTCAAAACCAATTTTCCCAAATATCTCAACAATCGCGGAAGAAAAACTTCTCAAACATCTCTAAAATCTGAGGAAAAGAAAACGAAAGGAGGTTCCCAAAAACCAGTCGACACGCATTTTGCACCATCGAACAACACTCCACCAAGGTGGATCTTGCCACGTGACGTCACTTCCTACTAAAGTCCCGTGGGTCTTTTTTCGTTTTTTAAATGGACAGGCCAAAAGGGTCCCCGGCTGCGTGACTTGTGTCGATGCAATGATAAACGGTTAACGGGTGGACGGGCTACGCGGTCTCGTTCCACCTCGTTGCCATCTCTCTCTCTCTCTCTCTCTATCTCTCTTACACTTTCATCTGTTCATCTCACTGTTTTTATCTGCCACTCCGTCTACAGGCGCTCTTAAAGCGTAATTCGACAAACCGGATGTCTGGCCTGCCCCTTAAATAAATCAGTTTGCCCGCATCTCATATTCCACCCCCGCTTCTAGTTACCGCACACGATTTCCCTCCCTCTCTCCCTCGATGGAAAACACTGGGTGAGAAGTAGGGCGTATATCACGACGGAAGAAAAGCGAGCGAATGCTCGCAACGACGATACCGGCGTGATCGTTGATAAAATTCGGCCGGCGCTTGGCCCGACGGTCGACGGCGAGTTTTTCGGGGAAAGGAAGAACGCGTGATTTCTGACACGATAGGTCCATGGAAATACACCACGTACCACCGGTTCGCCGTGGACAGAGTACAGAGGAATATATTTTTCTCGTCTTTCTACGGTCGCGTGTGCGTACGAGCGAGAAAGAGAAGGTTAATGTAAAACGGTAAAAAAGTGGGAAAAACATTGTAGCGATCGAGAGCTGCAAGGTTGCGTAAGATCGTGTCGCGGAACGTGGATATGGATTTGCTGCGTATATCACGGGCGTAACGAATGCGCGAAGCGATGATCGAGCACCCTTAATTGATCGACGATCCGTCGACAGACGCGACGCTTCCAACGATTAGGCATTCTTCGATGATTCAGAGGAATTTATTAAATTCTAACTTAGACAGACGTGCTGTATATCATACATCTTTTTTCTTTTTAATTAATGTATATACACGCCAAGTGTATTAACGAAAGAGCGAAGACTTAAATACTTCCTCGATAAAAACTTCGAAAAAATCGTCCATCTTTTTTGTGCGTCTCGATATTAAAAATACCAGAGCCTCGTTGTTAGGGATCAATGTTTAAAGCATGTAAAAATATTCAACTTAATTTGAAATTTAAAAGTCGCACGTGAATGTTACTCCATATTTTCTAACAAAATTCTCGAGAAATCCTTCTGTCGTTAAATCCCTTCGTTACGAAATGTTGAAGAGGAACTTTCACCGTTCCGGAATTATCGCGGCGGAGAGGCCCCGCGAACGAAATCGGAGCACGATCGGGTGCGCGTAAAGTTCAAGGATCCGGAGGCGTCAGGGGGCTGAACAATACGAGAGCGAGTGGATCTCTCGCGCGCACGCGGACGATAAATTATAATCCCTGATGGTCGAAGTGGCGACGCGCGATGCGCCGCTATCGGGACGGCGATCGCGAGCCGATGACTTACGCGCTCGCTCGCTCGCTCGCCTCCGAGTCATTGTACCCACACGTATTAATTGGTCGTCGTAACATAATGCCGTATAATTATGTAATTAGCGGTCGAGCATTAGTCTCGCTGACTGGTTTACGGGCGAGATACGTAAATCTCCGTAATTAATTTATTGGTGCTCCGGAGAAAAGCGACCAGACGTCGTCGTCGCTCGAGCGCGAAAAAGACGGCGCGCAATCGATGAAACAAGAGCGACGAGGAACGTGGTATATATTAAACGCCGAAAGAGACAGGATGATCCCGGGAATAGAAAGAGCGACGAGGAAGCTTTAACCACGCGGTTTCTAGCCAGTGTGAAGAAGGCAGAGAGAGAAGGAGAGAGCGTGGCCATCGAGCGAGGCCAAGATTCATCGAGGCTTTGCTCGCTAGGTCGTTTCAGAGGCTGCTCGAAGAGGAGGCGGAGAAACGGGCGCAGAGGCCGGCCACGATAGCCGAGTGTCGAGGGCGCGACGCGGAATGATCTTTCGCGCGCCTCGACAACAGAGACAGCTTGTGGAAATAGCAGAGAGGAGAGTGTCTGCTCTCTCTCTCTCTCTCTCTCTCTCTTCCTCTGTGTTCGGCCTCGCGGTCTTGAATTTCTCTTGGACGATACCGGCGGCCTAGCGTGGCGATCATAAATTACAATTTATTGCAGAGCCAGCGCCTCCGCTCGACGGATTATCTTACCGTTATGTCAGCACGCTACAATTATATTTACATTTTCCCCCGTAATGGAATCCGCGATCGCGCCGGAACACGGGATTTTCTGGGCTGTCGGCTCTGAGCGCGTGCCACCGCGGGAGATTGCTGCTCACCGTCTCCCTTGCTTCCGGTGGAAGGCGGAGGAATTGG